CTTCTGGTATAGTTTGGGACCAACGAGTCATTGACCAGACAAGGCGATCAATGCTCCAATACTGCCTGCGTCACTCATGGGACTAGAACTCACCTAGCTCAAAAGTCAACGTACCAGTCCATAGCTAAAGCATTACTGCAACATTTAAAGTTTGCAGTTCCACTGGGGAGGGAAGACCCCAAGCTCATGAGAGAGGGATCGGGATCGAATCATAAGCGAAGCTGGACCGACGTAGCTGAACGCCGTCATGTGTGACGGCATCAACGTTTCATATCGGATGAGGGCGGAAAATATGATGGGCTTGACAACGGTTGATTGCATGAGAGCTGCCGGTCGACTTGCTGTGGTGTGTCGAATGGTAAGTGAGCCCTGACCATCTGTGACCATTGGAAAATGCAGGGAGAGCTAATTATACTGCTGCAGAAGCGCCCGACTGCGGACAAGACTTTTGGGTATTATACATAAGAGATTTCAAGACATTGAGTCGAGAGACTTTTTTCCATTTGCACATAAGAGTATAGAATTTTTCTCCTTCGCTCCCCCCACTATCGATACTACTTCACACCTAGCGACGTTGGATACTTCCTCGGGAGTGGTTGAATAAGCGATTTGAACCGAAGTGTGTGGTGGTGATTTCATCTCATGATCTTCTCCCCCCCTCCCCGCTACCTGCATGACGTAGCAAACACAGCATAATCGTCATCGTCGCCCGTCCGAACATTCCGCACTTAAGCAACTATCCCCTCCCACCATCTGAAGATCCACCCTCAGCTTTATTAGACGGATCAGAAGTCCGCTGAAACACGATCGATATCTTCTCGAAGCTCAAGTCACTGTTGCCCGGGGCATCCTTATCGCTGTCTCACCCATTCCAGGACGGACTAGCCTATCAGATCAACCGGAGGATCTATACAACCCGTTTTTATACCTTCACAGCTTTAGAACTTACCCATTCAAAATGGTCGGAAAGGCTATCCCGCTCGGCCTCAGGCTCTGGGAGGTATGTGGCACACTCCATAGATGGCACCTTCGTCAATACCACCAGCATTTCGTGCAGAAGCACTGCAGCAGCGAAAGACTAACAGCGAGATGCTGGAATATAGTTCCTTTGGACTCTCCTCGTCATGGCCCTGATTGGTAACATGATCGCCGAAGCATTTGCAGGCAACCCTGCCACCGTCAACTATGCCATGTTCGTTTCGGCATTCTCGATGTTCACCCTCTTCTACACTATCCCCGCAACGCTTAACCCCGACTGGGCCATCCACCCTATCTTCCTGATCGCTATCGATACTCTCAATGCGATCTTCTTCTTGACAGCTGGTATTGCTCTGGCCGCCAAGCTGGAATGCCACAGCTGCAGCAACGACGTATGTAACCCCGAAGTGGAGTCGCAAGACCTACATATAGGCCACTCCCAGGCGACAACAGGAACCCTTGCAACATATGCTGACTCTACTATGACACAGAGCTACACTCTCAACAATGAGATCACCAATGGTTCGAACAACCGCGGAAAGCGCTGCCGTGAGGCTCAGGCTTCCACCGCATTCCTCTGGTTCGCCTGGGTCGGCTATACCGTCTCCTTGGTCTTCTCGATCATGGGCTCGCGCTCCGCTGGTGTCAACCTCCGTGGACGCACTGGCCCCGCCCGTGGTGCTCGCCCCAGCATGGCGCAGGTCTAAGCGTGCGTCAAATATGTCCGTCGAGCCTGAACGGAGTCAACACACTGCTCCACCAGTGTTTCTCTCCCCAGGCGGCGGGAAAGCTCTGGACATACAAGACCACGGGTTATGATGCAAAGGGACAATTAAAAGCTAAAATGAAACGGTGAAAGAGAAATGACTTATGACTCTCAAAAGACGAAAACGTATGGGACGCAGTATGGGCCATGACGCCACACTCAAGGATGACAGTCAGAGTACTTAATCTGATGTCTCTCTGATGGCCGGGTGTTGGCTGATGAGATTCGAATATTCGACCGTTTGAAATCGTAATTATACTGGGATTTATTTTTGGATTCTGTTAATGGTTGGGGCTTGGGAATGATACGGGGCTATAATCGCTAGGCTGGATTGGGTGGAGTTGACAAATCTTTATCTTCTTTTGATGTCTATCTGTTTTACTATGTGACCGATAGTATGTAATACTTGGATCTAATATTGTGTGATTTTTATCTTGTTGTAATTGATACCTGATTTTACAGGACAGTTTGGTAGATGCTCTAGCTTCTGTATATATATGTAAGCAAAGAGGGTATAGTAGATTAATACTCTAGCATGTCTAAAAAGTCCTATGGTGGTTAGCAGATTCTGTATACGCTATAATCGTAATCTAGGTAATTCTATTATCCGCCAGCGCTATCGTACTGTGATGGGGGATTGGCTGTGTAGTAAGACGAGATGGGTGGTCAAATAATCTACATTTGCTATAGCTAGCAGCTTTCTTTACCACTAGTGACCTTATGAATCTTTTATATGTAGCATGATAATAATTATCACTGTCAAAAGTAAGTGGCTATATTACTTCATCCCTGATCATTTAAGTGTTATCTTAGATTCCTACAACGTAGTGACAGAGACCAATTTTTACAGTGTTATTTATCGAGATTGTATTGATTATTAGTAGGTAGTCATGATGACGATACAGCTTCTGGGGAGCCTTAAGTGTCTAGGGTATAGGCTTCCTACTTGCTTCATAAACACAATTTAACCAATCAGCCTAAGACAATACACAGTTGTGTTATTACTCCGTATATCATGCTATCAGCTGAGATCCTGTCTTCCACCAACTGATTCCCAATGGTGAAAGAGTCTCGATCGGGGAGGGAGCTGGCTCGGGTCGATTGATGCATGCATCGTGGACCAAGTCAGCCATCGCTCAATAGGGTCTCAATAGCAAATCACCCTGTCATTTGATGTATTGTCTTCTATCTATTCGAGAGTGTCTACTGTGAATACCTCGAGCAGTCACAACAATGAGGGCAAGCAAGCAACGGCGGGGCACCGGTGCGGCCCGTGCAAGAATTTCTCCAGAGGCGGCGGAATCTCCCTCTACCTTCCACCTCCTCGTGGCCTTTCTTACCCCGATCTCAGCTCCTCTCTTCTTCCCCCCCCATACCTCCTCCCAACCTCAACTTCTCAATCTAACGAACAATGGCAATCCAGTGAGATTGAACCAAGTCGTTTCTCTTCGGAAAGGCCGCTAACCATGTTCCCCCCAGCTACCTGATCCTCCTGTCGCGGCAAGGCAAAGTGGTTCGTGGCCCACCCAACTTTTGACCTGGCTGGAATCGCGGACTAATCGAAACAAATTTCCCACTCCCCAGCGCCTTGCCAAATGGTTCACAACTCTCTCCCCCAAGGAGAAGGCCAAGATCATCAAGGATGTGACCCAGCTGGTTCTGTCGCGTCGCACCCGCATGTGCAATTTCCTCGAATACAAAGGTTTGTCGTCATCGCATCCAAGCTCCCCCTCCTTTTTTTCCCAGCCACACCACCCCGCAGCTCCGAATTCTGACTTGGGGACTTCGTCTCTCTCTTTCTCCTCTCAACAGACACCAAAGTCGTCTACCGTCGCTATGCCTCCCTTTTCTTCATCGCCGGCTGCGCATCCACCGATAACGAGTTGATCACCCTCGAGGTCGTGCACCGCTACGTCGAGCAGATGGACAAGTACTACGGCAATGTCTGTGAACTGGACATCATCTTCAACTTCCAGAAAGCATACTTCATCCTGGACGAGCTGCTGCTAGCAGGCGAGATGCAGGAGAGTAGCAAGAAGAATGTTCTCCGGTGTATCAGCCAACAGGACAGCTTGGAAGACATGGAGGTACGTTGATGCTTGTGTTCTGGTTTTCATCCCTGTCCCCTTTCCCATCGGGCGGGGAATTGAGAAGGAGATGTAGAGCTGGAAGGTATCATAACCTTTCAGTTTCATCTCATGAAACCTGCTCTGCAGTCATGATCGTCTTCAATCCGTTCCCCGATCCCGGTGCTCCTTTTCGCTAAGCCATGCCACAATTCGGGTTGCCCATCGCCGTGGCATCCTCTCTTCCTATTCATACCCCCTTGCAAAATCCCACACTCGCCCTCTTGTTTCCGCTACATTGGTCTCTTACTCCAGGTCGCCATCTCTTATGCATGCTAATACCCCCCCTCAGGTCGAGGAAGATGTGGTTACGAAGATCATGTAGCAGCTTCTCAGGCAGTCAAGCGTTTCCGTGTTTCTCTTGTTTGGGATAATCATGATTTTCTGGGCCCTGGGGGCCAGCTCTGTTGGCGTTGGACGTACTATAGGCGTTGTGTTCTACTGTTGCGACCTGTTTCCGTGTCTTTTTTTCCATTTTCTCCGACTAATTTAATACCACCCAATTGACACTTCTGTGCTCGTCTTTCAGGAATCCAAGGAAGTGCTCGGCCACCTTTCCCAAGAAGGGTTGATCTGAAAGACAGGCAAGTCGAGCAAGTCTGGTTTGGCCAGTTTGGGGCAATCCGTGGTTCAGCCGCAAGACCCGTGAGGAAAGTGCGTGATATCACTGGCCGCACTGCCTCCTCCACGTGACCGGGGCCTTCCCCCTCCGGGGAACAACGCGACACCCCGGCCAGGCGATCCCCCCCCCCAAGTGCCGTATCATTGCGACACCTCTCATCCCCCATTCCTCCATCTCTTTCGTTATTTCATCTTTTCTCCACGGCTATGCCAATTTGGCCTACAAGTTCTGCCTATTAATCGCCAGATTTTCCACTTCACACCCTGCCAGCGTAGCTTGGGTACCACCTGCCAGCTCACTGCCCTTATCGCTGCTTGCGTGACATCTCAGGAGACAAAGAGCCAACCAACAAACGCATCGTGATTCCGAATAGTTGAGGAATTCACCTTATTTATACTGTCGCAATCGGTGCTCTTCAGTCACATTGATAATCTATTCTCTCTTTTTCTATCCCATCGCCTTTTATCGTGATATTTACGTCATCCGCTCACCGCATATCTGGCCCCAGATGAAGGTACGACAGTGGTGCCTGCCGTGCCATGCAACACGCTCGCTACGGAATGTTGGTCGCTAACCAATCTCTCTGTCTGAATAGTTCCTTCCTTTGCCCGAACTTGAGGACGTGACGAGCTCGCTGAATTTCGACACCGCCGACTGTCATATCGTTGGTGGCTGTGACCTATATACCACCAAGGCCGCCCGAGCGGATCGGAAATTGTACAGGAATATTGAGCAATCTTTGGAGTCCCAATATGAATCCGTGCTTCGCCTGTCGGCTTCGTTGTCGCCGCCGAATGCATCCGACGCGGCCGCGTCGCTCAATCTGTCCCGCTCCAGTCCCTTTGGCCCCCTGAGCGATCACTCCAGCCGTCGAACCTTTGCATACTTGATCGCAACATTAAATGCCAGCCATCCCGATTACGACTTCTCACATGTATTGCGCCCGTCTGATTTCCACCGCGAGCGCAATCTCAAGAGGGTCATGAACACGATCGACTCCACATTGTTCAACTTGCGACCGCGCGAAGCCATTGACCTGACACCCCCATCGCCTGTGACCGTCTCTGGATCATACAACGCGGGTGCATCTGCTACATGGGGACCGAAAATGTGGGGAGTCATTAATGAGCATATGTCGCTGAAAGAGTGCTCATTGTATTCTTACTCGCCGGAGGAGGATCCGTCGGACGCCGATGACGGAGCGATCTGGAGTCTCCACTATTTCTTCTTCAACCGGCTTCGCAAGCGGGTCTGCTATCTTTATCTCCGAGCTATCCCGATCCTGAGTCATACTCCCAGTGAGGGAGTGGCTACGCCTACGACGAAGCGCACATATGATGACGGATACTTGACCCCCGAACTCAGCTCTAGCAAGCGGGCTCGCTATTGGCTGGGCGAAGGCGTCGAGCTCGACAGTGAAAGTGACGAGGAGGATCTTTCGAAGTCGCATCATGCTGGAGACGAGTACGATCCATATGTGCTCAGTGACGAGGAGTTCCGATCCCGGTCCGGTAGTAAAGGGACCGTTCGGGCGATGAGCGAGGAAATCGCCGACTCGATGGAAGTCTGATTGTGCTTTGCTGTTTTTGACCGCACTTCCGCAGCCTTTTGCGCTGCTTCTGATTCTTCAACCTTGAACATGTTCGGCTTGCCACTCGATTCTCTTCCACTGTGTTCGGCCAATCGCGTTTTGTGTGTTTCGGCGTTTGTTTTGTTACTGCATTCAACCTGCATTTACATAGGCTAGGGGCGTTATAACTGGCGAAGGAACGGATCTGGTCCCTAATATCTTGCGAACGGCCGTTATGATGATGACAACGATCAGGCACTGCGTGGCCCGGCGCGGCGCGAAGGGCAGGCTCCACGCCGGCATTCCTATGGTCTTAATGTTCAGTTCGTGTATCTAATATAAATTGACTTGCGTTGACGGGAGAGTTTCTGTCTGGTTGTATTCTGTGGTGTGAGTATGAGTTACGAACAGGGATCAAATCGGTCTTCACCAAGAACTTGTAACTAACTTATAGTTAGTACAGTCGATGCTTAGACTGTAGAATGAACGGCAGCCCGACCCCAAGTGGTCCGTGCGCGGGCAAGCTGTCCGTTCCGAACAACATTCATCATGTCCACTATCATTCTCGTCCTCCCCTCCCTTCGATACCTACACCCACACTCCTCTCCAGACCCATCCTGTGCTCCATCATGGCTGACGACGAGGAGCGCATCAAAGCTGAAAAGCTGGCGGCCGCCAAGAAAAGGGTATGTTATGTGCTCCTTGCGAAATCATCAACGATGGCCGTTCTCCGCGGAGGATGTGGTCCCCGTCCAACCGCGCCCGCAGTTCATGTCTAGACCAACCCCCCTAACGATCGGTCTACTACAATTTGACTTTGTGGATACCATTAATATGTGCTGATTCTTTTGGGTCGGGAATAGGTCGCGCAGCTACAGAAGCAGAAGAAAAAAGCCAACAAGAAAGCTGCGGGCAGCTCCGATTCTTCGAAAGCCGCGGCGCCCGAGACCCCTGCCGCCGCCGCCGCCGCTGCTGAACCCTCGCCGGCTGATGATGCTGTACCGACGCCGGTGATAGCATCGGATACCCCAGTGATGGTGGTAGAGGGAGCAGAAGCGCAGTCTGTTGGTGATACCGCCGGCGCCGCCGTCGACGCTGCTGCTACACCTGTTGAGATTGGGGGAGTACCTCAACCTGGAGTAGAAGTAGAAGCAGTAGCTGCGGAGACGTTACCCGCGACCGAGGAATCAGAACAGCCTACCACTACGACTGAAGAACCGAAGGAACCCATACCAGAGGAGCAGGATGAGACAAAAGAGGCAGCAGCAGAACACGAAGATGGAGGCGTAGCACCGCAACCCGAAGAACAACCGCCCGCCGCCGCAGAATCCCCCCAAGCATCCCCCACCGCCACCGAACCCATGCCCGACGCGCCCATTACGATGTCGCCGGATAGTGAAGAAGCGCCGGCCTCTGTGCCCGGCACGACCCGACTCGACGCCCCGCCGACTCGTCCCGCCGGCCACGGACGCCAGCCTTCTTTGTCGATTCAGTCGAAGATGCGGTCGTCGTCCTTCCGGAAGGGGTCGGTGTCGCAGGGTTCGCTGTCGCCGTCGCCGTCCGCGCCTGTTGGAGGAGGCGGGGGCATGCTCAAGTCGCCTTCGTTGCCGCCTTTGAGTGCGGATGGCGAGGCGGTGCAGGAGGTGTACCGGAAGCAGTCGGCGCGGATTGAGGAGCTGGAGCGAGAGAATAAACGGTTGGAGAAGGAGCGGGAGGAGGCGACGTGCCGTTGGAAGAAGTCGGAGGATCAGCTGGAGGATCTGCGGGAGGCGAGTGTGGATGCTGAGGAGTTGAAGGAGAAGTTGGGGAGGGCGGAGGAGAAGGTCGCGGAGATTGAGGAGTTGGTAAGTTACTTTTCTTTTTTTTTCCCTTCTCTGGCTCATGGTAGTCGGACTCAGAGTTGAGTCGATTGAGGCTAATTACGTGGGGTTTTGTGTCTACTTAGAAAGCGGAGATTGCTTCGCTACAGAGACAGAACTCGCACCTGCAAACGCGAACGCACCGCAACAACGCCAGTGTGTCCGCCCCGGGACAGTCCGAGTCGCCGCCGGCGGATCTGGTGAAACAACTCGAGTCGAAGGCCGCAACGATCGAGGCGATGGAGCTGGAGATCTCGAACCTGCGCGCGCAGCTTTCGTCGCAGACGACCTCGAGCAGCGCGCATGAGGCCCAGATCGCGGCGCTGGAGGAGAAGCTCGCGACCGGTGAGACCGCGCTGGAGAGGTCTCAGCGCGAGCTGGCGGATACTAAGGCGGCCTTGACTCGTGCCTCGGAGAAGGCGGTCAAAGAGGGCGTCGACAAGACTTCCAGCGAGACTCTGATCAAGAGCCTTCAACGGGAGGTAGAAGAGCTGAAGCAGGAGAAGGCCGACGCGGAGAAGAAGATCGAGACCCTGGAGAAGAAGCTCGAAGCCATGGGCAACCTGCACCGCGAATCCGAATCCCGTCATCAAGCACGACTGCGCGAGAGCGAGAAGGTGGAGAAGGAGGCCGCGGTCCTGCGCAAGCGACTCGCGACCGTGGAGAACGAGAACCTCCGCCTGAAGGAGGAGCAGGAGACCCTTCGCAAGCGCGAGGCCGGCGGGGCCGATGACGATGCTCTCGACGAACTCGAGGACGAGGAACGCTCTCGACTGCAGCGGCGGATCCGTGACCTGGAAGGTGAGGTCTTCGATCTTCGCCGCGGTGTATGGCAGGAGAAGCGCGAGGAGCTCGCCGGCGGAGCCGATTATCACCCCTCCTTCAGCGGGGACCCCGACTCGGCAACTGCTGCGGCGGCGAATACCTTTGACGACGTCGACTTGATCGGCGGCTCATCTGCCGATCACGCTCGCCGCCGCAGCATGGCCCAGAGCAAATCCCACGGGCAGCACTCATCCTTCTCGACTGTGCTTAGCAGTGGGATCGCCGCGTTCACGGGCGGGAACACTTTCTACGGGAACCGAGGCCGCGCCTCGTCGAACCAGCAGCCGGCTGGCACACGGGGTAGCTTGGAGCTTCTGTCGGAAGAGAACCTCGATGATGAATTCGACGAGGCGGAGTTTGCGCGTGCGCAGGCAGAAGAGGAAGCTCGCAAGCGGGTGGAATGGGTGCGCGAGATTAAGAGGAAGCTCAGGGACTGGCATGGTTGGCGGTTGGATTTGGTGGACAGTCGGGCTGGTGCTGAGGGCGCCGGCGTCGGGATGGGAGAGATTTTCGAGATTTAAAGAGGTCTACGTGCAGATACATGCAGACTATCGATTATACCATTGTGTTACTTTTGTTGATGGCTTACCACATTGCCAGTAAGAGTTAAGAGTGGGAGGGTAGCTATTAGAGCGAGCTGGAAGTAGTGAGTGTACGAGTACTCCGTACGGAGTACTTTGTAGATATTTGGGAGTAACCCTTTCCAGTAAGGTGATTTAATGCGTGTTATCGATAAGCGCGGCGGTGGTGCTCCACGCAGGATTGCGGAGTTGCACCGCGCAATTCGGCCTACTTGGCCTTTCTTCCATCATCTTTCCCCATTTCATTGTTTCGTCCCTCCTTTCCCCCCCTCTCTTCCCGACTTTTCATAACAGCCATCTGCCTTGGAGAGCGAAGGGCTTGGTTCCACTGTCGCTCTCGTTTTGCTCTTGGTGTCTGCTGAATTAATGCCTTGACCGGGTACCCTTCGCCCTTGTTTGTCCATTGACGGGAGTGTGCGTGTGTCTCCGACACGGCAACTTTTCGTGATGAATGGGTTCGGCGATCACGGCCTCAATGAGGATGCTTTCAGCGAGAAGTCTCAGCTGCAGGGCGGCTTGAAGACGTTCGATGCTTTTCGTGAGTTGTCACTGTCTGATTCAGCTTGTCCCCATAAACCAGATACCCGTGGAGCTAGCTAGCCAGCCAGCCATCCAGCGACCCCATGCGCAACCCCCCATCTCCAAATCACCCATCCACATCCACACACAAACACAACCACTAACTCAAACCCCCCTCCCGCCTCACAGCCAAAACCAAAACCTCATACACGGCCCCCTCGCGCCGCGGCGGCCAATGGACGGTCCTGATCCTCCTCATCTGCACGGTGTTTTCCGTGTCGGAGTTCCGAACCTGGCTCCGGGGCACGGAAACCCACCAATTCAGCGTGGAGAAGGGGGTGTCGCACGACCTGCAGCTGAACCTGGATGTCGTCGTGCGCATGCCCTGCGACACGCTGCACGTCAACATCCAAGACGCCTCGGGCGACCGCATCCTGGCCGGGGAGCTGCTGCAGCGCGAGCGCACCAGCTGGCAGCTGTGGACGGACAAGCGCAACCGCGCGTCCGCGCACGAGTACCAGACGCTGAGCCAGGAGGAGCCCGACCGGCTGGCGGCGCAGGAGGCGGACGCGCACGTCCACCACGTGCTGGGCGAGGTGCGCCGCAATCCCCGGAGAAAGTTCCCCAAGGGCCCGCGCCTGCGGAAGGGGGACAGCGTCGACTCGTGTCGGATCTTCGGCAGTCTGGAGGGGAATAAAGTGCAGGGGGATTTCCACATCACGGCGCGCGGCCACGGGTATCATGATGCGCAGGGGGCGCATTTGGATCATAATGGTGCGTGTTTCCCCCCCCCCCCCTTTTTTTTTTCTCACCCCCAGAAGAAACAACCCGCAATGGGGGTCCAGAACTGATAAGAAGCAGTCTTCAATTTCACCCACATGATCACCGAACTCTCCTTCGGCCCGCACTACCCCACGCTCCTCAACCCGCTCGACAAGACCATCGCCGCCACCGAGCACCACTACTACAAGTACCAGTACTTCCTCTCCGTCGTCCCCACCATCTACTCCAAGGGCACCGCCGCCCTCCAGGAGATCTACACCGACCCGCAGCACGCCCGCACCAACAGAAACCTGGTCATCACCAACCAGTACGCCGCCACCAGCTCCGCCGACGTGCTGCCCGAAAGCCCCTACTTCATCCCGGGAATCTTCTTCAAGTACAACATCGAGCCCATCCTGCTGTTGGTCAGCGAGGAGCGCTCCAGCTTCCTGGCCCTGCTCATGCGCCTCGTCAACACCGTCTCCGGCGTCATGGTCACCGGCGGCTGGCTGTATCAGATGGCCGGCTGGGCGGGCCAGTTGCTCCGCCGGCGGCGGCGGGAGAAGTCCGAGGGGATGCTGAATGGGAGGCATTTTGCCGAGGATTGAATCTGGTTTCCTGATCGTACTGTGTCGAAGGAGCGTTTGGTTTTATATGCTAGCCAGGAACCTGGAATGATATTCAGGATACATATTGACACTTGGTTTAAAAAGATATCTTGCCGCTAGTCTTCGAATGATCTGTCATATTCGTCATCCTTTATCTTTGTCAGAGGGTCGCGATTCGTTGGTCCGATCGGAATGACTTCTGCATTGACTCCGAGACAGAATGTAGCTCGAGGTCCAGTGCTGCTCTTGAAAATGCACACTATACATGACAGCCAGACCCAAACAGCAGCATAGGTATACAAACTACATACATGTAAACGAAGATCACATGCTCGAAGTAGTATACAGAAGCACCAGTCACAAGGTGGTCGTATAATAGTACTGTAGTAGCAATTGTCTAAGTCATATCATCTCACTCCAGTCACACCTTCCGATCACTGCAGGAAGCACTCCGTAAAAAGCAAGACAAAACCACGGGTGTACAATTCCGGGTATCGATCCTCGAGATTCTCTTCGAGATAAAGATAAATAAATATACAGGTTGGGGAAGGGGCGTTTAGCTGTCCAATAAAAGTCTTCATCCCACCCAACAAACACCCAAGGGTCATCACAGACAATAAAAAAAGAGTGACATATGGAAAGTGTAGGAGAAGAAAAAAATGCCGACATATGCATGCAAAGATTTTGACAACAAGAAAGAATAAGAGGGGCCCTCAAGGTCATGACGAATACCACACAAACGAGAAACAAACATGCTTGAAAGAGAACTTTGCAACAAATCTGAAAGGTCATGGTCGAAAAGCATGCACATGCTCGATTAAGGGTATAAGGTAAAAAAACTCTTGGTCTGTTCGCTTCCTCTTCTCTTGGGCGGGCCTCGAACAAAGTTTCAAAATCTCAATCATGACGAACGGGGACACGCAGAACCTCTTATGTGTCGGAGCCCGTTTATGCAACCTTGGTAATCAAACAATTATTATTACAGATATGCAAAGAAGCGAGGCAGAAAGGAGAAGGAAAAAGATCTAGATGAAATTGCCTGCATCACTTGGTCCTCTATGAACTGAGTTAGTCGCCATTCTGAGAGATGTTTGGTGTTTCACAATGAAAGATCCACTTACCAGGCTGGTCACAGCCGCCGCTGTTGCGAGATCAGGCTTACCACTGATACTTCTAGCCGCAACACGGGGTAAAGCGGACCCAGGAGTGCCTGTGCTAATACTCGTGTTCCGTTTGGCGGGCGTCGACGGTGGAATTCCGCTCACAGTCGAGTGACGCTTGCCAGCGGGCTTGATCGGGGAGGTGCCCGAGGCGTCTCGAGTGCGGGCGAGAGTGCCGCCTTTCAGGCCGGCCACAGGTGGCTCTGGAAGAGGACGCCCTAGGGACGGGTTGGAAGAGATCACCCGCTTGGCTGGAGAATTGTTCGTCAAAGTATATTGCCTCGGACGCGAAGCCAGCTTGATACCAGTGATGAACTCGTGACGAAGCGCGTCTTGAGGACTCATCCGACGAGCGGGATCCCACCGAAGGCAGCGGGCTATAAAGTCAAGGAAGGCTTCATCGTCACACTTCAGGACCTGCCGGAGCTCCTTGGAGCTGGGACGACGCCTTCGGCCCTTCGAAGAAACCGTAAGCCTCGGTTTGCCCAACGAGTCAAAGAACAGCTTCTTGCGAGTACTCTTCTCGATCAAATGCTTCTCCGGAGGTCCGAACACCTCCATTATGCAGGCAAGCTGTTCCTGCTCATTTTCGCCTGGGAAGATAGGGTAGCCAGTAAACAGCTCGGCAAGGATGCACCCTACACTCCACATGTCAATGGGCATACCGTATGACATGCCAAGAATGACTTCGGGAGAACGGTAGAATCGACTCTGGATATATGTATACACTTTCTCATTCTCGAAGCAACTGGAGCCGAAATCAATGACCCGAATGTCAGAGCTCAACGGGTGACACAGCAAGATGTTCTCCGGCTTCAGATCACAATGAATGACCTTCTTCGCCTGCAATAGCACCAAAGTGTTCAGCATTTGTTTAGTGAAGCGGCGGATGAGCTTGAGACTGAAGCCCTTGAAATCGTGAGCTTTGATGAATTCGTACAAATTCATTCCCAACAACTCGGTGGAGATGCAAAGATGGCCACGGAAATAAAAGCTTTGGGTGAAGTTGACCACGTTATGCCGACGCTGAGGGTCCCACTCCTTCAGTTTCTGAAGAAGGTTGACTTCGATCAAGGCTTGCTGGTGGAAACGTTTCTTATTGCGGATGATCTTGACTGCAACAAGACCTCCCGTTTTGTGGTCAATGCATCGCACTACCTGACCAAAGCTTCCTTTACCGAGAACATCGATCACTTCATAGCGGTATGCCAGATGATCCCCAATGACGATATTGTAGTCGCCGCGGTCGTCGTCGTAGCCAAAATTCGCTTGGACGGATAGATCACCAACGTGTTTCTTGGCATTTTGGGTGCCACAGAAATAGACATCTTTGAAGTCGATGATCTCTCCTCGCTCGAAGATATTCAAGTTTGCGATCCTTAGGGCCTGCGCTGGGCTCACACGCTCCTTGGGACTAGCTTTGCGACGCAGATCATCCAGATTCTTGGCGGCCGTCTCAAAGTCTTTGCGTTTACTGCCAAGTTTGCGCATCTCTTCGTCAGCAATACGAATATCGGGGTCAACGTTGGGATCGCTGGTAGGCGGGGGAGCTGGAGTAGAAGCCACGCTGGACTTAGCCGAACTGATGATTCTGTGAACCGGCGAAAAGATTGAGCTTGCAGTCCGATGCTGAGGAACGGGAGGGTCACTGTCAGTGGAGTCATTGGATGGGCTCGGTTCCAAGGCAAGACTCTGCTCACTGCTGAAGCTAGGCTTCCTCAGTGTCTGGCCAGAGGCTTTCGAGACAGATGCTTGCCGTCGGGACTTGAGATAGCTTGGTTTAAGCGTGGGGCTGGAAGTCTTGATACTAGTGAGGTTGTTCCAAGTCGAGGATGTGGGAATCTTCGGGGGTGGCATTGGGTCATGTTTGACGGGATCGCTGCTGGCTTCAACTCCTGTCTGAGTCTTAGAGCTGCTTCGCTTCCGGGTCATTGTGATCTTGTTGCGAAGGGATGAGCTCGATATACTGTTATTGTCCGGGTCGGAGGGCGTTGAGAGCTGACTGATCGTCTCCGCGTTCGATGAGAAAGCAGAAGACTGTGTTTGAGGTCGAGGACCTGTCATTTTGTACGACTGAATCGCTTTGGGCGAATAGTCGTCACTGTTTTTCTGATTCAAGTTCGTATGTTCACTGTTGCTTTTCGGAAGGCTATATGCAACATAAGGCGACACCGTCCTTGCATTAGTCGGCGTGTTGTCGAACCCTGCAAGAGCACTGGAGCCGCTCACAGTTCGCAAGGCTGAGGCAGTTGATGAAGTACTCAGCGCAAAATGTGAAGTGCTGCTTCTCGCTTGTGTAACTGCCAAAAGATCATCATCCTCGACTGTCGAGAAAAAGTTGGCCTTCGAGGCAGTCAGAGGAGTACTCGGTGTCTTGGATGCGATCTGAGCGGATGGCGTGTGAACTGTCAGATCATCTTCACGATCTCTCAATGCCTCGATCTTGGTTGTCATGGGTGTGCCAAGGGGAAGCAGATTCAAAGGTGGTAGTTTGAGAGGTTGAAGATTCCTTTTCCCAAGAAGCGCGGAGGTTCTAGGCTTGGCTTCAGGAGTCTTCATCGCGCGTCCTTCTCTTGTCTTGGGGGCGTCCTCCGTTGAAATGTTGTTATCCGGTTCTGACTCGAATTTAGGTTTGGAGCCTGTTTCCATGTTTAAGCTTGGCTTGCGCGGAGTAACATAATTTGGCGGCTCAAAATCACCCTTAGGGGATTCATAGGCTTTCGGGATCGCAGGAACAGGTGGGACCTCCTCATCAGGCGGGTTCGGTTCGGAGCGGGTCTTGGGAGTAGGTAATCGGGACGTTGACGAGCTGTGAGATAGGCGGTTTTGCAATGAGCCAGCTGAATTTCTTACGGAATTGTAGGTTGTGGTTGATGAGAGCGACAGGCCGGAACTGTACGACTTGCGATTCGGGTCAGGGGTGGTTCGGTTTGAGGACGGAGTAACGCTCTTTCGAGGTATATGCGACGGCGATTGCGCGGACGAGCGAGGTCGGACAGGCATGGGCTCTGTTTGGGTCGGAGGGGTAAAGGGCGTAGGGTGCGCCGAAGGAGCTGTTGACATACGTTTAGCCCGACGAGCATCGGTAGGGCTTATGGTACGGGCTCCAAGACCATGTACATGTGGCGGCATGACCGAGACTCTTTTGCAGGACGAGGCTGGAGTATTGGGAGCGGCTGCCGCGTTTTTAACTGGTGTTCGAACTGCATTAGTCGATGATGACCGAGAATATTCTGCTGGGCCAGACGCTGTCAAGTATTTCTCGTGGGGCTCTCGCAACGGTGGCTGAAGCGACTTTGCCTTGATACTCCGCGCTTTGCTGGAAAGCTTCGTACCTTCGGTTCGACCGAGATCGAATTGCTGCGTGCGGGGACGGAGATAGCTGGTCTGCTCTGTACGAGTGGTATCCGCGCTCGCTTTCCTCGCAGACAAGCTCTGTCGTCTCCCGGTCACGGTGGATGGCAATGAGACCGGGCCTATGGACTTCCTCGGGGCACGCGAAGCTGTACCATTCGGGCCCGCTTGTTGAGCAAGGCTTTGGCGACGATTACGACCTGTCGTAGTAGAAGTCGCTGATGGACGAGATGATACCGATTCGCTGGACGAATTAACCACGCTTTTCCGCCGGATAGAATTGCTCCTGGAGCGTGTACCCTCCCCATTGGTACTGCCATTCGTCCAAGCGGGCTCATACCCCGAACCAGTGTTTCCAGGCACGGGGAAGTACTTCAGCTGCGATTCTCCCACAATACTATTCTGCATGTCATCGAAGTTGACCGAGGAAAGGAACTCGGTACTTTGGGAGGGCATTTGATTGTAGTCTGGCTTCGCTAAATTTCCGACACTGGTAGATCGTAGGCTAATGCGGGAATTGTTGCTCTGCGTTGAGTCATTTGTGGAATCGATCGAGGAGTTTCCGGAGTGGAAGAACGAGCCGGGTGTATTGCTACATGTTGTTCAAATTAGTATCAACATGCGTGATCGGAAATCTTAAAGCTGGAGGCCAAAGGTTTCACAATTGAAGTTAAAATAGCGGGAATGTGGGGGGAGAGGCAACAGAGAGCTTGAGGCGATTATACCTTGTTCGTGAAGGATCCTGCGGTCGCGGGCCTTGCGGCGCTTTCTGATCGCGAATAGACAACCTCCTCCGGTTCATTACACTTGTTCGGGTTGCGGCAATGGATTTGGACGAGTGGGACGAAGCTTCGGAAAGGAAAGAGGTCGAAGAGTGCTTTTGCAACCGTCTGCGCGTGGGTCCTTCTGTTCAAGCGAGTGACAATGGGTTAGCCGTGGTCAACAGAGAACCACCTGCAAGCGATAACGACGATTCCGATCTTGGTCAAGCAATTTTACCTTCTGGACATGAGCCGTCATTTCTAGAAGGGCTCGAAGACCTCGATTGGACTTTGCGCAAGTGCCCCTTTCCTGGAGTGTCTTGAAAAGATGGATTTTCCGGCATCATCCTCGAACTGCGACCGGGAGAGCTCCGGACGGCAGGTAGGTAGATCAACCGGAGGCGAGAGGTTGGGGAAACGAGTTAGCGGGGGGATGCAAGGGCAAACCCAATCGCAATGGCATTCAGGAGTAGAAGGCGAATGTTATTTAATTTTTTTTTCGGTGTCCAAACCAAGCAGAACCCTGATCAACACCGTCGCGCGACCCATCAACGGTTGCTACCGGTCCATTGCGGGGGTCAAGAACAGCGGTGTCTGCTGCGGGCTGGGCGACGAAGGAATCTGGTAATCGATTAGATCGAGTCGAAACCACAGATGAAAGCTCTGTCTGCGAAAGCCGTTCTGGGGGCCCCTTTTCGGGCAAAAATCCCAAAGAAAAGATGGGTGATGTTCTGCAGAGAAGAAACTCTGCCTGGGGCAGCAGTAGGTTGTTCTTTGCCAGACTTGGCGTCGAAGAAAGTTACGTACGGGCTTGTGTACAGTACACCTGAGCAACCACTCCAAATGAGAAAGAGCAAACACGGAGTGTGCCCGACACGGGTGAGAATAGGAAGGTGGTTTAAGAAAAAAAGAATGAATGGGTGATGTGACAGAAGAAGAGAAAAAGAGTACAGGTCAACAATGAGAATCCCCTATACTTCTATGCCTGAGACAGTAAGTGGGGGGGAGGGATGGAAGTGTGTTGGGAGAAAAAAGAGACCGAGAGAGGAAGGATTGATATGAATGGAACTGGAAAAATAAAGAGGTGGTAAACAATTTCGAGCCCGGGACCCATTCAGAAACCTCTTTAGTTGTGCCCCCCTGCTCCTTTTTGCCTGCTTCCATGGCTGCAAACAGCCCAAACACCCACTCACTTAGTTACCATTTTGGCGGGATCGCCCCGATGGTACTCCGTAATCTGCTCACTGCAGTAGTTAGTAAGTTAACCTACCGTCATCCGTCATTCACTCCGTCCTATTCTACTGCTCTACGTAATGGTCGTATTGCGCAATACCACCCGTGACTGACTGTCACTGACCCTATCCATAGTTACAATACAAGCTCCCGCCGATAAGCTCAGTGACCCCAAAATCTGGGCATCCAGCCATGCATGTGCTTCTGCTGCTGCGACTTCACTTGTGACCTCACTCTTTCCTTTCTCCACACACACCACCCCCCTTGGAGATGCTCCTTCTACTTGATTTGACTTGACCACAGCAGAAGAGTCCTCGTTGATGGATCGTCATGGATGATACTATCGCAGAACCCATTGTCAATCGCGATGAGCCTATACCTGTCATATTCTCCGACAAGCAGAAACATGATACCAAGCATCCGCGAGCTCGGGGGCACAAGCAATCAGTCTCGGGGGTTGGGCGGTCTCTGCAGGACAGGCTATTCTCCAAGTATGTTCTTTGATCCATTCGCAATGCTCTCAGACTTTCCCTAATCCATCTGTTCAAAGGATCCTGGAGCAGGTAGTGCCTACAGAAGATGCCGATAAGGAATCGTTGTCAGGCGGCGACAAGTCTCTCGCCGCAGACCCCAAGCGGCCAGCCTTCAGCCTACCTCTCATGGCAAACAACTTTCGCAGGTTCAATGCAAGGTACAATACTAAACCTCCCAGTTTTAATCTACAGAAGATGCTAAGGATCAATGCAGAATTGGAATTGTCTTTACGTTTCAAATCCAGGTTGAGCGTCTGTTCAGCTGGAAAAAAGCCTCCCACACGCTTTCGTTCCTCTTCATCTATTCGTTCATCTGTCTGAACCCACACCTCTTCGTACTGATTCCGATCTCCATTCTTCTATTCTTCATCATGGTGCCTGCATTCCTTGCGCGGCACCCTCCCCCTCCTTCAACGTCAACCTCAAGTATCATGCCTTACTACTCTTACGATGGCCCGGCACTGGCACCTGCGAAAACCATCAAGCCAGCCTCAGAGACCTCGAAGGACTTCTTCGTGAATATGCGAGACTTGCAGAATTGCATGGCGGACTTCTCCGACGCCCACGACGCCATGGTCTCGGCCTTTGCACCTGTGACCAATTTCTCCGACGAGAAGCTTTCGTCAGCGGTTTTCTTACTGTGTCTGCTCATTGCCGCTCTTTTGTTCTTGACTGCCCATCTTGTTCCTTGGCGCTTGGTCTTCCTGGCTGGCGGTAATCTAGCTATATTCTCCCTGCACCCTCGTTTTCACCATTTTGTCCAGGCTATCACAGCGGACCTCTCACAGCAACCTGCGGGAACGGAATCCATGGCCGAAAAGCAACTCAGGAGCGCGGCAAACGCTGCTGGGGTTCCACTACCCGCTTCCTCCTCTAGTGCCATGTCCTTGATGAGATCATTGGCTAATATCTCTCTGGATTCTGACACTGAAGAACGCGAGGTCGAAATCTTTGAGATTCAGTATCGCTCCCTGGCACCATATGCCGAATCTCAGTGGGACCATTTCCTGTTCAGTCCGATGCCATACGACCCACTCTCGCCACTTCGCATCGCAGGCGACCGTCCCAAAGGGTGCCGGTTTTTCGAGGACGTCCAACCTCCAAGCGGTTGGGCATGGAAGAGCAAAAAGTGGGAGCTGGATCTAGACTGTCGCGAGTGGGTGGTCGAGCGCATGATCACGGGGGTTGGCTTCGAGGTACCGGGGGGCGCTTCTGAAGATCAAACAGCCGGTGGAGAGATCGGGGGCTGGGTCTGGGATCTGCCTCCTGCTTTTGTCGCGGATGACAACACAGCCAGTGATAGAAAAGCTTCTGCCAAGAAGGGCAAGGAACGTGCCTCGCACGATTATGAAGAAAGAGGTAATACCGGAGGAATGGGTGAGTGGAGAAGGCGGCGCTGGGTTCGAATGGTACACAGAACTAGTATGCCGGCTGGTCAGCAACAGACGACAAATGATGAGACGTACTGATGATGAGGTTTGCGTATGAAGTTCATAGATCCGGTGAAGGTGAAGTTCTTAATCTCCTTTTAAAGCTCGGATCAGCATTAATGCAAATTCGCAATGACACTGATATCACGTGACTATAATTCACTGTTTCACTTTCTGAACAAGAATGCTCTTGGGACTCACCCCACTTACAGGAGACAAGAAACCAAGTAATTTTTCTTATATGCTTGGCGATCAGCTCTCGGCCAAGGCATGCAAGGAATCGTGCGAGTAAGGCGATTTGTGCGAATAGAACTATTCCTACGAGCAAGAAATCACGTCAGAAGTTGCGGCTGTGGCAGTGCTCACGGCAGTAGCAGTCCTAGCAGTCCTCGCAGCTGTGGTAGTTTTTGCAACTGTAATAGCTGTGGCGAGCAAGGCCTCACACTATCAAGACTAGCGGATAACAGCAATAACAAATATAGATTATATGATTTGTGCTTGGCAGGCTATCCAAGCAGCTAATCAGTATGTTTGAAAAGCGGATCAATTGTCCCCGAATGGCCAGTTTCTTGTAGGACGCAGCACATACGTGCTTTGGAACAATAACCATACCCTGTCTGGAGGACTACTTACACAAGGGCCTGACCTGCAGGCAGCGCCTATGGCGGGCCCAGGAGGGCCTATACTTATATCTTCCTAAGCAATTTTTGAGTAGCCGAAGGTCTATATTACAGCTTTGACGGCCTAATTTCACAGCTAGACAAGAGCATCTATACAGCTGTTCCTGGTCTATTTATACGGCTGTTCAAGTGCCTTTATAATTATGATGAGAACGTTGCACTGCTCGGCCAAAAGAATATTAAGGTACTGATCTAGCCGAGAATGTTTGTCAAGCCGAAGATCTGGACTATGTATATACTACAGTATACAAAGATTCTGTTCTGAGGGTTCTATAAGATCTAAGTAGTACAACGATTTCTCTTTTGGACTTCTGTAAGGCCTAAGACTAACTTTCAAGTCTATAATATAGTTTTTTCCAATTACAGGCAAAGTGCTCAGCACCCGAAGAACCACTAGATGCCTGATCGATACAACCTTATATAGTGTACGCAGTGTAAAGCCATCGGCTTTACATCCTAGTCCTTTAGCTAATGATTCAACGGCTGTCCCTTGGAATGCGCACCTGAAGGTGCTTTGTGACAGTTAGATTCAAGTGGTAATATTGTTTTTTCTATGATTTAGATCTGTGTTGGTGGGGCTGCCAGAGCTAATAAATAAAGACTTATAATCTGATAAAGATATTATGCTACTTATTTTAAGAAATATTGAAGTACTAATCTAGCTAATTGATTGCTTCAAAGAATTCTAAATCCCATAAAATGGCCTGTATAGAGCAGTGCAAGATAGAGCTGGTTAAGGCTGAATTAACTCAATGGTTTGGGAACCAGTAAGATGGATTGTGGTTGTTGTTGCTTATATCCGACTAAAAATACATTTAGAACTTTTCCTTCGATACTTAAGTTCTGACAAAAGTCCATTGAGTCAGGGGTTGAGGTATATTCATCAAACTTTATTGAGGTAATGAGTCTCCTAGTTCTTATGTTTATACTGACATTTTCTATTGTGGTGTATCTCTTAAAAAGGATTTAAGAAAGTAGAGATAAACAGTATTATCATGATATTGACTTAAGGTCTGATCTTGAGAATAAGAATAAGATGATAAGTAATATTAGGAGTTGAGTTTATTCTAACCTCAATAGTCGCTACTAGGATTATATCAAAAGTGTTGTAGTGGGGGAGTGTTCTCACCCCCCCTCTAAGTTACGCCCCGCTCACCATCCTTCTGCTAGTCTGTTTTCGGATATAGTGCCTGAGGCATGAACAAAAGGCGGTGCGGAGTCCGCCGTTTTAGCGTCTTAGCCTAAGGTGAGATGAGAGACCTGGATGGCTTACTACTTCCTCTAAGTGTCTTGTGTTACCCAAACCCAGTCTTTAGGTGGTCAATTCTGATGCTGATAGACATGAATAATGGAGATGCTAGTTCCTGTCATTGGCTGTGGGTAAGCTCTTCTGAATTCTAATCTGACATGCATGTATCGAATGTCCGTTGTTGACATATTCCGCCTCAGGACTCTCCCCATGCGCGGCCGTCGCTCTGTGCCTTGGAGTACCTCTCTCTTGCACCAGCGATCGTTATTTTGATCATTGCACTGAGCCACTTACTATCACATGGAGCTTTGATAAGATGCCCAAAATGGATGAATACCTTCATTCAGGAGCAGCCAGCATCGATAGAGCTGCCCATAGAACGGCCACCGCAGCGTGTTGGCTGGGTTGTAGCCCTGTTCGCCATCTCGATGATTGGATTCCTAGCTGAACTGATCAGTGTTATCCTCGGCGGGCCTTTGATAAGCACCGTACTCCCTGTCTCCTGGGTACGTCGAAAAAGCAATGGTTCGCGATGAAACTCCGCCCCGCTGACAAGGGACCAGGCTGTGGCTGCTGCCATGGTTGCAGTGCTGCGCCCGAGATCGTGCCCTACATCCCTGCTTTCCTTTTTCCTGAGTGCATTGGTGGTCGAGTCCGCATATCTCATCAATGATGATGTGTATAATGTCTCTAGACTCTTCACACGCCATGTGGCTGCTGCTGCTGCTTTGGCCGGCTGTACGGTCATCCTTGCAATGCCCTTTCGCCGCCATAGTCTTCCGCAGGACGACATCAGCGCCGTTGGTCAAGTGCCATCCAGCGACTTGCGCAGCCCAGAGGACAACTTGCGACTTTGGCAGTTTCTGAGCGTGTCTTGGATGGCTCCATTAATTTCTGTAGGCAAGAACAAACAATTGCAGGAGGAAGATGTGTGGTTTCTGGGGTACGAGTTTCAGCATCGCAGACTGCACGAGAAGTTCCGGCAATTGAAAGGATCCGTGCTGGGAAGGCTACTTCAAGCGAATGCAATTGACGTGCTAATAATAACGACAATCTCCATCGTGCAGATGCTCTGTGGTTGGTAACCTGTCAATGAGGGGCTGCGCGTCGCTGACTAAATTTGCAGATTTCTCGACCCCTGTCTTGCTCCAGCAATTGTTGCAGGCGATGAAGGATCGAGGCACGTCCAATAGACCGGCCTTGACCTATGCATTGCTGAGTCTGATGCTTCGCCTGGTGCTAGCGCAGGCCCAGGTTCTCAATCTGTGGTACGGGAGACGTGCCTACGAACGGAGTAGAGGCGAGATGATCATGATGGTTTATGAGAAGGCACTTTCGAGAAAGAACGTCTTTGATCAGGAGATAAGCGAGAAGGAAGATGGATCCGAGCCCTCCGAAGAAACGGATGATGATACAGAATCGAATCGCCAATCAAAGAGGTGGTGGTGGCCCTTCTCGCGCTCCAAGAGGGTAACGCGCAAGGAGAAGATTAAGAAAACAGCGTCCATGGGCAAAATCTTCAATCTATTACGTGGAGACGTCTACGAAGTCGCGCAGAGATTCTGGGAAATTGACTCCCTGATTGACAAACCGCTGGGGCTTATCATTGCGACCGTTCTCGTCTGGAAGCTCCTCGGGCCGTCATGCTTCTTGGGAGTTATAGCCATTTTGGTTGCCCAAACGCTTAACGCGTTCATCACTCGTACACTTCTTCGTTGGGAACGTGTACGTCGCCTAGCAACAGACACCCGGCTTCAGATATCTTCTCAATTTGTTGAGGCTCTGCGACATTTGCGTTGGTACGGTTGGCAGAACCATTGGCTCCGTCAGGTAATGGACGCCAGACAGTCCGAGTTGAACCTGCGAATTGTCACTAGTCTTTGGAATGTGCTGATTCGCTTCATCAACACCCTTGCTAGTGGGCTGTTCCCTGTGGTCGCATTATACGCCTACACCTTCTTGGCTGGAAACCCGCTGCGCATCGATATCATCTTTCCTGCTCTTCAGCTGTTTACAATGCTGGAAACCCGACTGAGGGATATCCCGAGTCTCATCACTGTGCTCATAAACGCCTCGATTGCTATGGAGAGAATCGAGGACTTCATGGCAGAGCCTGATAAAGAGAACACGCCACTTGCTGCTGACTGCGCCTCTCTCATCAAACTGGAATCATGTACCTTTGCCTGGCCCGGGAAATTATCACCTGTGCTTTCCGATCTCAACCTGGACGTGCCTCAAGGTCTGACCGTTGTCCACGGTAAGGTGGGATCTGGCAAGACAGCTTTGCTCCAAGCCCTACTGGGCGAGCTGGATAGACTGGAAGGAATCTCCCATCTCCCAAATGAAATGGTCGGGTTCTGTGCTCAGACCCCGTGGCTGCAGAGCATGAGTATCAGGGACAACATTCTGTTCTCTTCGCCGTTTGATGAGCAGCGTTACAAGCTGGTGCTAGATGCCTGTGCACTTATACCGGATCTCTCTAACTTCAAGCATGGTGACCTGTCTTTTGTGGGTGAGAATGGAATAGGTCTCTCTGGGGGTCAGAAGGCACGGGTGGCTCTGGCACGGGCAATGTATAGCTCGGCTAGGATACTGCTACTTGACGACCCTCTTTCAGCCTTAGACCATAATACAGCAGAGACAGTTGTTCATAAATGCTTCTTGGGTCCGCTAATGCGCAACCGGACTGTGGTTCTTGTCACCCACAGAACCCACCTAGTCGGTGAGATTGCTGACCAGATTGTTCGCATCGAAAATGGGAAGGCCACGGTAGAAATTAACCAGAATGTGTCGTCTCATGGCAGCGATGACCAGGAAAGCGCTCCGTCAGAAAGCACAGAAACTGCCAACGAGGGTAAAGTTGCTCTTGAAGATGCCTCTGCTGCAATTCCCACGAAATTCATAGAAGAAGAACATAGAGCAGAATGGGGAGTGCAGGCACGAGTATATTGGAAGTACATCCAAGCTGGCAAATACCGCTGGTGGCTCGCCCTCTTTGCGGTATTGACAATCTATCGCCTGTCTTCCGTTGGCCAGTCATGGTTTCTCAAGGAGTGGGGAGAGGCATACAAGCAGATACTCTTGTTCTTCGGACAATCGAACCTCAACCGTGTGACTTCCAGTGCGGAACTAACTACCGCCTCGACGATGGCAAACAACATCCACTGGGCGCCGCGGGACCCATTTGATGGCTTCCCCGCGCCAGAAGAGAATGTGAAACCCTGGTTGGTAGCATTCTTGCTCATTACCGGCTTCCAGTCGCTGATGCTTCTGCTCGCACAGCTTCTGATGTTGGTGATCGTCTACTGCGCCGGCCGAACGCTGTTCGAGGAGGTGATGGTACGAGTGAGCAACGCCACGTTCCGATTCTTCGATGTCACACCCGTGGGTCGCCTGATGAATCGACTTACTTCTGACATTGGAGTGGTCGACGGCAACATCAGCGAACAGTTCCAAATGATCGCATTCCAAGCCATCACCTGGGTGTCCTCGATAGCCGTTATCGCAACTGTGACTCCGACATTCCTCGGGTTCTCGCTCCTGCTCACCGCAGCCTTTGTTCTCATCTTCCGACGATTCCTCCCCACCTCGCAGAGCTTGCGACGTCTGGAGATGGTATCGCTGAGTCCACTAATCTCCAACTTCGGTGAACTGCTTCATGGCCTAACCACCGTGCGCGCCTTCCACGCCGAGAGCCGCTTCCAGGACCGTGTCATCGCCGTCGTCGACAAGTTCCAGGGCATGGACCACTTCTACTGGTCACTGCAAAGCTGGCTCATGTACCGGTTCGAGAGCCTTTCCGCGGTCTCGACCTTCTGCCTTACCGTCCTCGCTCTCTACACCAGCGTCAGCCCCGGCCTAGCAGCCTTCGTCCTGATCGCGGCCAACAACTTCGTAACCTCCACCCATGCCCTGTGCAAGCAGTACGGCCAGCTCCAAATGGACTTTGTATCGGTCGAGCGAGTGGACGAACTGCTGCACGTGGAGCAAGAACCCCCCGGCACAATCGATCCTCCGGCCTCGTGGCCCAAATTCGGCCAGGACATCGTCGTCGAGGACGTGACGATCCGCTACGCGCCGCACCTCGACCCTTCGCTCCGCAACATCTCCCTGCGCATCCCCGGCGGCTCCACAACGGCCATCATTGGGCGCACCGGCAGCGGCAAGTCCACGCTGGCCGTCGCCATGCTCAGCGTCGTGCGGCCCGAATCCGGGCGCATCCTCGTCGACGGCCTGGACATCGCGCAGGTCGCAACGCAAGCGCTGCGGTCCCGCGTCACGTTCGTCGCGCAGGACCCTGTCCTCTTCCCCGGGAGCATTCGGCTCAACCTCGATCCGACGGGGGAGTACTCCGACGCCGAATGCGCCGAGGTGCTCAAGCGCGTCTGCAGCCGCCACGGCTGGAGTCTCGAGACGCCCGTGGAAGCCGGAGGCAGCAATCTGAGCCAGGGCGAACGGCAGCTGATCGGGCTCACGCGGGCGGTGCTGCGGCGCAGTCCCATCGTCATCCTGGACGAAGCGACGGCGTCGATCGACCATGAAAGCTCGTTGGAGATCCAGCAGATCCTGCGCGAGGAGATGAGGGAGTCGACGGTGGTGACCATCGCGCATCGGCTGGAGGCGATCAAGGATGCGGAGTATTATATTGTTCTGGATAAGGGAGGGGTGTCGGAGCAGGGGTATGTTCGGGATATGTGAGGTGGAATCTTGGTGAAGGAATCCGCCTTTTCTGCCACGAAGCATTTCCCATAGCTAGACCGATAGAAAGGAAGAAGAGTTTGAAGTAGGTATCTGAGCTTGGAGTAAGCTATGGCAAGCACTGAACAGTCCGTACCAAGAAGGTCATGCGATTAAGGGGCGTGATCATGATGACACTTCCCATCATGTCTCTAGCCGCGGGGGTCATCTACAGGTAAAGAGAACCGCGTCCGTACTCAATAAAGAGGTTTTCATCCGCATTAGCATACCGCAAGGACCAACAAAAGAGTCGATCAACAGTTGCAAAGCAAAAGCTATTAGAATGTACGGCATCAAGAACCTCGAGCTTGTCCGTAAAACCACCAAATATCCCTCCCCAACTGCTCGATAACATTGGTGTTCTCGCTGATAGGGAACCCGCGATGAGAGGTGGGATATGCGCGTCCGAGAGAGCAAATCCCCCTGTCCATGAGTTAGTCACAACATCGTGGCAGATTTAGAAAACAACAACCCTTCCATACACTTGCAGCCTGCGTCTGTCGAAAATAACCTTGTCCGGGTCGCCGTCGACATACGCCCGGCCTCGTTGTCTCAGCTCCCTGCCCCAAGTCAACCTCTAGTATTAGCCAAATCCAGCACCATCGAGCATGAGGAGCAACTGTGAGGTCCGGTAAATTGGGCCTCACATTGTGTATCTACTTACCTGACAATCCGCAGCACTTCACCCTTGACATGATCCACTTCCCACGGCTCAAGCCGCCCTTCAAAGGAATTCAGCGGATATCCAGGCAGCCGGGTCATAGCCACGATGTCCAGCTTGCCCCCGGAATACTCAAACTCCGGGCCTTGCACCACCTCGCCGCCGCTGCGACTACGATCGAGAATGTGGGGGACGCCGTTCACGTTTTCCGCGGCCTCGAGTGCTTGGAATTCGTCTTCGATTGCGGTGCGCCCGAGACGGTTGAAGATGCCCCGATGTGGGTTCACGGTGGTGAGGATGGGGTGTTGTCTAGATTGCCATGGTGTCTCTCAGGTTAGCTTCTGGATATCTTAAAATACTCAAGAGTTGTCTGTCAGACAGAACAAGGAAGGGGGGGAGTTGGAAAGTTGCACTCAATAAAGAATTTGACGACCACCTCGAGGCCGTCGCTGTTCCTGGTCGCCCAAAACACTGCGCGTCGCAATCGGTGGTAGACGTTCATGCTTTCCCCAACGAGACGGGTTAGACCGTACTCGTTGGCGCCGACGATATACACCTTCCCTTCGAGGTGTTGTAGTGTCTCTTCCTCCAGTGAGGGAAAGCCCTCGGGCTCATCGGACGCCGGGTCACTCATCATGGGGATTGTACAATTATCGTTCGCAGAAGTGTGTCGCTACGGACGAAGAAAAAGAAACCACTGATTGATCATGACGGCAGAAAGGATGGGGTTGGAAAAGGGAAAGAAGAGATTATTGAGTGTTAGGTGGGGCAGAGACCTTGGGAGGGGGAGGTAGTAGGTGATGTCTGGGTGAGGTGATGGAACCGTGACAAGCCATACGGGTTTGCGGAGCGCATACTGCGGTACTAGGTACTAGTTAGGTAGTTGAGCCGGGCCTCTCGTACCCTATGCCGCGCATTCGGATGATCCTGGCACTTTGATAGACATACCGGCTCTTCTGCGGGCCCCTGGCGAGTTGTTCGTAACATTGAACACTTCTGTTCGGTTGGGTCGGACAACCTAACTATAAAGGGCCGCATTCTTCCACCGAGCTTTCATCAGGAGGCTGTAGAATTCTTGGTAGTTCAATCTAAGGATACCTGTAGCACCCCTTCCCCTATCAACATGCGTTGAACGAGGACAAGCCAGGATACCCACCGCTGCTCGGATGACATGCGCTTCACCTTCAATCTGCGTCATCTTAATAAAATTCATAGATGGCAGCTTATAACAAACAATAACATCTTTTTTGTTTATCAACAACATTCCAGAAAGAAGGATGAGCCTCAGCAGGCCATCTCATTCAGCAACCAAGTTTCCAGCCTGCAACTATCTTCTCACTAAGATCATCCTGGATCCAACTCCGACAGGCTACCATCCTTGCCGGGCGTAGTCGATGATTATGGATAACTCCGGGTTCGGCCCAGGAATATATTCGCATCCAAGGGCCGAAGGTCATTGTGCATCCATACTAGCGGTATTTCTAATCGGACTGGATGTCGCAGGCGCTGTTGGATTTGTGTTTTGTCGATCACGTCTGCACGTTGGCAATGTCTATCAATGCCCACATGCCGTGCAATGAAATCCTCGGTCAGCGTCATACTGCTTATGAGACGTCGGTTCCCGTCTATCGTGATGCCTTTTTGACATGACATACCGATATGGATGCTGAGAAGGTCTTGTGTCAAAAACAGATCAGACTGGTCTGCCTCATCCTATCCCTCGTCACGATCGCAGTACTCTTCTTGCTCCTCAGCACTCACAATCTTCCCGGAAGGAAGAATACTGTCTGTGATCTTGCAGGTATCGGATTTCACGAAAAACGGGTAGTCGTGACGCAGGCCTTGACAAACATATCCCATCGGCGTATAGGAGACATCCTGGCCCTGACCGGAGGAAACGCTTTGGGACCGCGGTATATACTAATTTTCCGTAGCTCGAGCATTGAGATGGCATGCTCTCTGGGACTTAGAACGTCCACAGATACAGTAGCATTAAAAAAAGGCTTGTCTGGTTGATGAAAAGATAATCAGGTTAGCTGATCCATGTATAATTATCTACCCCGGTTTAATCCTCTGAGTACCTCACCTAACCGCCCGCCTTTTGGAAAGCCCATGGGTGCGTGAGGAGTAAAGAAAGGGAGAGATCAGGAGAGTGGAAAAGTGAGTAAGTAAGAGAGTAGACAGAGATAGAAAAGATATGAAGGATTGATCCCAACTGGACGTACAGTAGAAAAAGTCTTGTTTTCAGTCTTACAATGGGTGATTGACAATGAGATTCATGAGAGTGGTTTTCCTCAAAGCCGTGGGAACGTTGATTCTGACAATAGCGAATTGATTTGTACGTTCAGGATCTTCTCTCCAAATTCAGTACACTGGGCGACAGGGTTAGGAAGCAGCTATGAGCATGGGGGTTTTCGGAAGGCATACGTACCAACGACTTACGTGGTGCTTACAAGAATCAGGATCCTTTGGAGCAAACCATAGGCTAGATCGATGTCTTGACAATCCTTAGGCCGAGCGGTACAACGCTCTCATCACCTTCGAGTCTTCGCATCAATGGGGTTTTCGTCGAGCTCGATGGATAAAGCATGACACCGGAATTAGAAAATCTTGTATTGGTTTCATCATGTTTCTTGTCAAGCATGGAAAAAGTCGGGGTGAGAAACCCGTGGGTGTCGACGGAGGACGGATGTGGTGCTATAGAGACCATTCAATCGACCACCACCCCTCTTTTGCCTAGTTTAGGTAAATAACCATTCCTCGATCCCAGAATCTTTATTTAACTCGCTTTCTATTACCAAGGGACTCGGAGGATGTGAATTTCGAGTGCCAGAAAGTGGATTGTTTCTACTTAGCAAGGCAGAGCTTTTCTACATCGCTGGTCCTTATATTCAAGTCGCCTGAGATCTATTGATATCTGGCCGGTGAGGCTAGTAAGTAAAGACATTAAGCAACATCCGTTCTTCTTATCCCTCCTCTTCCGTCCTCGAATAAGATCCAGTATATTCAGCAGGCTCATTACGTCGATTTGCGAGTCCAAGTCTGATATGATGGCAATGCTATGCCATCAAACGAATACGAACGGAATTAACCTCCGATCACCCCTTGGATACCCGCTTTGCAATCATGGATATGAATACCCCTAAACCACTAGGACGGTGTCCTTACGTGTGCGTTATTCAAGGCTCGGTCATCATGAGGTCTTCTCTAAGCCCGCACCATCGTTCTACAACATGAGTCATCTCCATTCTGCTCTTCTACATTGTCCCATCAAGTATCTCTATTCTGCTCTGAATCAGCACACAGTCACTCATCGCCACAACCTCATCCATTTACTTCTTTTTCTGCCCTGATACTCACTGAAAAATAATTGAAGCTTGATCGAAAATTCACTCTCTCCCAACTATCTCGGTACCATTCTCCTCAACTCAGAGACATGCCCCCTACGGGTTACTGGACAGCTAAAGGCCGAGCCTTACGACGATGGGCCTCATCACCCCGAGGGATCTTCATCATACTCTTCTCTTTGCATTCCCTCGCTTGGTTAGGAGTTTACATCTGGTTACTTGGCTACCCACCCCAATCAATGTGCCACCCCACCTGCGACGCCGACAACTCCCCCCGCCAGAAGTGGGTCGAGATTGCCACCCAGGTCCTGTACGCTCACAACTATCTCCCGGGCCTCGCGGTTGCATTCTGTAGATCTCCGGACATGTACCTGTGGGGCCGCTGGCGACTGGGCGGCTCGCTCCGCACGCGCCAGAAAGCGTTCGCCACTCTCGCCTCGATCCACGATTTCTGGTTCAGGCTCGATGACCAAGCCTCCTCCGTTGCCAGAGACTTGGTGGATGTGGATGAGGAGAAGCAGCAGCAGCAGCAGCAGCAGCAGCATCAGCAGGTTGAGAAGGAAGGTGAAGCACTGGTACTAAGGGCATCACCGACTCCGATGTATAAGCTGGATCTAGTGGTCTGGAGCTATATTCTCGGTTCCGTCTTGAATGTGGGCCTCGCGGTCTGCATGTGGGCGCTGAATCGATCGACCCGACCCTACTGGCTCCCAGGCTGTTTGGCACTTCCCGCGGGGGTTGTGATAACAACTGGGGGGGTGATTATTCGGTTAGAGCAGAGGCGAGCGCGTGTTCATGCTTCAAGTCATTGCAACACCAGCACCGATGCTGAAAGCATAGACAGTGAAACGACATATGTTGAACGCACGGACAGTGAATAGACAGATGTTGAAAGCACGGACGGTAAAAGTATCAATGCTAAGACTAGAAATAAGGTGAGTCGGTCCGGCGCGCCCATTGTGATTGCACCTGTGGTCTTTGAAGAAAGCTGTAAGCTAAGCAGATTTGGCAGAGACGACTGGCCCGGGCAAAATTTCGGAGGAACGGCATGCCGCAATTGATATTGGTGTCATTTCATGTTACCAGTCGCAGACGCCATTAGGCCTCACCTTGGTTCGGCCTACTTGCTGCCTGCGTTAGCTTCTACTTAGTCTCTCTTGGATAGCTTCCAAGCCGAATTGCTCAATCTTCAATGGGTTGCTTGATTATCTAAGGCTATGCTCGCACAAACTACTTAAGCTCTCTGTATTAATAGTAAAATGATAAGAAGGTCGAGGGTCAGTGGGCACGAGTAGAAGACGCTATCCACCTGTCAACACATCGAACACCGCGCCTTAGTGAACTTACTCGACGACACAGGGCCCCGAAGTCAAATCCGAAGTAGGTGAATATGTCTGGCTCCGCATCTCAGGATATTTCGCTTATTTCACTCGCAAGAAATGTGAGATGGAGAGTCTGGTCAAAAAGAGGATCGCTGCTCTTGCACGTGGCAGTCGAGTACTATGCGTAGTGCCTGCTCCGCTCAATTGGGCGGTCCCCCACCACTTGTTTCTCTTATACCATTGTATTGGCTACACACTGGCTTCGTCGCTCACCGTGAAATTGATACTAAAATAGGCAAGTCTGCAACGGCTCCAGCTGGAATTGCAATGCTTTTCAAGACGCTTTCACAGGCACTTAGATTCGTGAAACTAAAGCTATCACTGCAGGCATTATACAAGGACTCGACGTCACAACATCACGAAGAACTCAATCGAATCTAGCTGATGTCAAAATGACTCAGACACATGGACCTGAACTTGCTGACCCGCTTCACCAAAACCACGGCATTGTAGGTGGTGACAAAGCCGTAGAGGCATTGGTACGCATTCACATAGCCCACAACTTGAGCTAGTAGTCCTCTCGTGTACTCTCCCTTGCCTTGGCATCAACAGCCACCAAGTGCTCGACGGTGTCATCGTCTGCAGGAAGATATCTATCCTGCATCTCACTTCCAACGTACTGAAAATCTGATCATCGGACTTGATCAAGAAGCCGAAGGTCCGCAGAAGTCACTGCGCTGCCAGCCGCATCGTCTTATTCTGGGAGGGTCGTTTCAAAAACCACAGCAGCATTCACAGATAGTTGAGCTCCCCACAGACGGCACGGTTCTCGTCATATCGATCTCATCCGCCGAATAATCGTAGTATTATACCATTCAAGGCTTCATGCTGCCAGTGAACCAAGAACGAGGAGATCTCGGCCCAGTTTCCATAGCAGCCTGTAACCTCGGTCACTTGGACTTATGTGCCGGTTTCTCACATCATAACGAGCTTGCCGATTGTGTGTGACTTGTAATGAATTGTAGTAAATGGCCCTCGGGAGTTGTTCAAAGGTGATATCCTGATACCAAAGGGTCTCGTTCTGAGGTTTTCTCTTCGAAGGGTTCGAGTATACATTCGGTTCGTTAGGAGCAATGAGTGAGGAGCCGAGCGGTAGCATGATGATGACGACTTGAGGCCTATTCTGTGAAAGAGGATTAGCTGGTGAGCAACGTTGGAAGGTGATTGTGTCCTGACTTTCGTAGTCGCCATCCTCACCGCGTCGAAGTCCGAGTTGTAGTTGAGGCTTTTCCGACAAGACAATGCCAGCGCTTGAAGCTTCTTCCCATGCATCACCTCAGCCACCTTCAGATCTGTCAGGAACTGTGCACATCATGGATGTGGCTTTGTTCTCCTTTGTTCTCCTTTTGTTCTCTTTTTCTGCTTTTTTCTCTTTTTCTCTCTTTTGTTCTCTTTTTCTCTCTTTTGTTCTTTTTTTCTCTTCTTTTTCTTTTGTTTTTTCTTCTTTTTTTTTTTTTTTTT